GAAAGGGGTTAATGTTTTTATACAGTAAACTGTATAATAAATCAAGTCCTACAGATCACAACAGTATTATCTCATTAGGAACTGGAAAACATTTTTCAGCCTTTGGTCCTAAAGCTATGGTTAGAAAATAATAATAAAACCTATCACTGTACCTTTTCTAAATTTGGGCTTTACTTTTGAGGGTTCCTCCTGTGCTTTGCCTCCATCTTGAATGGGGAGTACCATGTAGCACATCAAATCAAGGACTTTTTCACATGTCATCTAAAGAAGAAAAGACCAAAAGGAACTAACTTGAAGCTTTTTGAACTGAAACGTATAGAGAGATGAGAAGAAATCTGAGTTTGTGTTAAATTATGGCCTTGAATTTTTACGGTACCTCCATATATAAAAATATGCTTATAATTTTAACTTAATGCAAACATTTATTGTGCCCTGCAAACCACTGTGGCAGGTGCCATGAGAGATTCAAAGTTAAAAAAACACGGTCCCCACCCTCTAGTAGGAGGGGCTCAAAATCTCCTGGGGGACACAGACCCATTTCTAAATCTGTTCCTGCAACACCCTCTCAGGTGTCATCATCATTTAAATGGAGAATCTGAGGCTCAGGTAAACTGAATGCAAACCCTCCATTTCCCATTTAGTAATGGCCTTGTCTTTCCAAGCACAACAGAACTGATTACATGAAAAACAAAAACAAAACCCTCCAACTAAACGGAGAAATAAACAGGAATTTTGAAAAGTACAGAAGCCTAATTTCAGAAAAGATAAAGAGAAAATTAAAATCACTGTGATTTTTACCCTCAGATTAATAAATCTAAGCAAAAAGATCAAATTCAAGCACACATGCACTGAATTAAAAAGCCACTCTAGGGAAAAGAGAAAGCCCAGGTGGCCTTGTGCACCTTTGGGCCATGCAGGTGCACATACTCACTCTGTACTCCCCCAGGGCGAAGTGGCAGGTCGCCAGCTGGATGAGTGCCCTCTGATGCTCCAAGGTCCCCTGTCCTGAGATCTGTGGCTGAGAAAGGGATCCCTGAAGAGCTGCTAAATGATGTAGGCTGGCTATCGCCTTTTTGTACTGACCCTTGGAAAGACATAATAGCAAGGAGGGACAAAACAGTGCTATTAAAAACAACAAAGAACAAAACCCTCCAGAGCTAATTAAAAAACTAGAAAGTAACTACAAAGAAGGTGCCTTTGCATGATCATCTGTGGAGGAAAAAGAAAATTTGGCAATAGAATCAAATCAACTGATAGTAGATGGAAGTTCTTTATAGAGGTACTCTAAAAGTACGAAGCTTTTTTTCTTTCTAGTCTTAAGACTAAATAAAATAACAGAAGCCCTTTGGTAAAATACATTTTAGATATATCATTTTTTAAGAAATATTTCACTAGTAACATCGCTTCTTTCCTGTCCGTTTCAACAACATCTATTAGTGGATTATCTACTGTCTCCACTCTAGGCTGAAGAACAGCACAGCAAGACAGGAGAGAGGAGGCGTGAGAAGTACTCATCTTATATTGAAAAGGAAAAATCTTACTTTCATAGAGGGGTGTGACTGCACATACCAAAAGTAACAGAAAATACATTGTTTTAGAGTCACTTTGAGATGAAAGTGGACTACACTCCCTCAGCCACTGAAGACAGAGGGTTTGTAAACAGCAGTGGCCTTGCAACAGTACTCATCCTGTACAGACACAGGTACTTGAAATAGATGTAATTATCTACCTGATAGATGATCATGTCAGTGAGGAAGATTCTTAACCAAAGCCAAGTATCCGTCTTCCATGCCAAACAAATTCTTGTAAATTCTGAGTGAGAATTCAAAAGCAAATTTACCAAACATGTAACATAGAAGCAGAAAACAAAACTGATAAACCCAGCAAGAGAGAACAGAGAGACAAATTACAAAAAAATGTATAGTAACTTTCGACTTTGATTTCTAAAATCTTACTCTAATTTCAATTAGGTAGTAAAATTAGAGCATAACACTTATCAGTAATACAAAAGCAAAATTGTTTTTAGACACCAACACTTATTGAGCACATACTATGTGCCAAGAACTATTTAAAGTGCTTTTCATATATTACCTCATTTATGTTTTAAAATATTTTGCTTTCCCCAGAAAAAGCTCTTATTTTATTATATTTACACCCAATTAAAATAACAAATATACAACACTAAAAGTTTTTATTCTTTTTTTTAATTTTTAATTTTTTTTAAGAATTAACATAACTTTATTTAATTACTTTGGAAACAAAACCCCCCAAATAATGCCTGAATCCAAAGGTACATAAAAAAGTCCAGAAGTATTTAAAATAATAGATTTGAAGATTACTTGTAGTTTCTTCTTCATAACATGAATGCTTTCAGCTGGACAGTAAATTACAAACCATATCAATTCATGTTAAGGCAGATGATCAACCTGTGGTCTCGCTCTCTCTCTTTTTTAATCAATTTATAACTAAAGGAAAAATCCCCTCCAAAATTGTCAGTTGCATGACCACCATTCTAGATGCGACAAAGAGAAACTGTATAATGCTACATTTACCTAGAAAATATGACATGACACATTTGACCAAGGGCTCTGTGTTGGCATGTGACAGGAGCCCAAGGGATGAATGTCCACTGACTAAAGGAAAATAATGGGCCTTGATTCCAAAGTATAGTAAAAATATCTTGATTAGCAAAGAGCTAGTGATTTCTAAGTAATGCTGAAATACTTAATAGTTTAACTATTATGCAGCTAAAACCCCCTCTAGTTTTATGTCTGTACACAGAAGAAAAAGGCTTTCTGTAGTTTTTTGATTTTTGTTTTTCAGGCAGTGGGGTTAATGCAGATTAAAAACAGCAATACCTTTTGTACTCTTAGTCACATACAGCTTAAGGAAGATACAAAGCAGTAGAAAAAGAACTAAAAGCACAAAAGAAACCCAGCAAGAAACAAAAGGCCAGTAATACAAATATTTAAAAGAAAGACCAAATCTTCTCCCTCAAACTCCACACCAACCCTGATTATATTACACTATCAGAGTAGGAGCTAAGGGGTGACTCATGATTTGAATATTAATAACTGATTAGGTATCATGATCTAAAAGAATCCTATAGAATGTGTGAACTACTATAATTAATTTAATTTGCCATAAGTGACCTGACATTTCTGGCAGCATAATGATTTTATATAAAACATTAAACACCAATATGACAAGCATATTCTTACCTTTGTCAAGGAATTCCAGGGAATAGAGCAACTCCCAGCTTTCCCTGGCCAATTTAAAGCTTTCTAACACTTCGATGGAGTTAGCAAGTTCTGCTTTATTGACTACAATGTGACGATTTCTTCCTTTTGCTGAACAGTCTTCATCATCTGAACTCTGCTTAAAGAATGTGAAGAATAAGATTAATTCGAAGTTACAAATACGACCATTTATCAAAACACTATTATGTTTATTGCTGCCAGTTCTGCCTATTATATGGATTTTATATCAAAGGATACTACATATGTATCACAAATTTTTGAATTTAACAAGTTAACTTTGAAAATTGGTATAAATTTTTCATCTTTCCAGTCTCCACATTCAATTTTTCCTTTTAAAATTGAGTTTATTTTTTTCTGATATAAGTTCTTAATGTTTGTTTATGTTGGCTTTGGAGCAAAGTTACAGAATTAAATTTTCCAACAATTAAAAAATATACCCATTTTATAAAAGCCAAAAATTAGATTTTTACATTGAGAGATACAGCTTAAGCAGTGCCTGTTTTAGAGGTTATTTTTCCCCCAATATGTGACATTACTTAATTTGCTTCCAAAAAATATTTCTTATTTCCCCTAAGAAATAATGCCAGAAAATGACTGGTATTTATCTTTTGTTCACTGCACACAACTTCTCTGGCCAACCCTCTCTCCAGCTCTGCTCCTGCAGTGCAAGGTGTACAGTCAGGAATTACATTTGTCCACACGTATTTAGTAATGCGTTAGAAAAGATTTCTACTTTTCTTGCTTGTCTTCTCAACTAATATAAAGCCAGAGAAAAGAGAGGGCTATGGAAAAAGGCAACTATGGGAAATGCCACTGGGTAGAGTCAGATATTTTGCCAAAAACCAGGAAAGGTAAAAGAGCTCTACTGTATTTTATTTTGCTAAGAATTTCTTGACTCTTTAATTCCACCTAGGTCATTTTACGAATTCAGTGACCCAAATTAAATTCTTCCTGCAGATCTTTTCTCCACTAAGGTCATTTAAAAACATGTACAAATGTTTTCGCTAAAAGTTCGGTTGCCCAAACTCATCTCAGCTAAGACAGGAAGCCGTTTGCACCTCCCTCACACTCCCCACCTTTCTCCTGAGCTTGGTATCCTCCTGCCATTACCTGCTTGGGGGACTCTCCCATCCCACCGTCCAGCTCCCATGTTTTTATCCTTCCTCAGTAACGACACACATGCTTTCACAATCAAAACCTACCTGTCAGGTATTATTTCATCAGGGGCTGTTTCTTGCCAAGTCGTGGCAAACTAATACCATACACTAACATGAATGGTGTGTTTATTAGTGTTGCAACTTATGGAAGCATTCCTGCTTTAAAATGAGATCAGGAATGTAATAAAGGCCCCCAGGCATGGTGGGAAGCAGTGCGGAGTTCCAAATGTTTGTAAAATTTAGAGAAATCGATTTTGAAATGTGCAAGTACAGTCTGAAGCTCCGAGGTAATGCTCTGAAACAAGGGCCCTCACTGCAGGGAACACACACAACAGCGTGGCAGGTGGGGGAACAGGCTGCCCACAGGAGAGGACCGTCCCCCAGCTCCAGCCATCTGGCGTGTCACATGAGCCAGTGAATCAGGCTGGGTGGAGGAAGTACTCCTATCTACTGTGGGCAGCCACCACCCAACTCCAGCTGTGGGCCACCACAGGGGCCTGTGTTACCAGATATTCCAATTATAAAAGGGAAGTTGGAAATCTGGATTATGAGAAATGCTAGGTTTCTAATTTTTAAATCCTAGGTTATTAAAACAACAACAACAACAACACTATGAGCAAAGCAAGATGCATCTGTGAGCTTAACTCATGGGCCATCAGGTGTGTCCTCTGCTGTGACAGGACACACAGACCTAGCTGGACACATATCAGGTGGGCACAGACTGTGGGATGGGATGAAAACCAGAAGGAAATCAGCTAGGACAGTGAAAACAAAAGTGGATGGAAATCCCAGATCGGTTGGAAGGCCAGAGAATGAGAACAGGGCCTGCTAAATGAGCATGTAACAGGTGAAAACACAGAAGGATAGGCAGGCCCAGAAGATTTAAAATTATTATACAGCCTGGATGCCAAACCTGGGAGAGATCAGTGGGAATTCCCTCCTTTACCAGATGTTCGCTGAATGCCTGCTTTGGCTCAGGCACTGCACCTGCAGAGTGGCTCAGGCACTGTTCAGCTGCTCGGGGTGCAGTTGTGGATAAGCTGGACAAAGTCCTAGACCCACGGAGCTTGTACTCTAGTGAAGGGACACACAGTAAACCAACCAACAAGCAAAATGAGTTATGCAGGGAATTAAAGCAGAGTAAGAACAAGAGAAAACTGGACAGCTACTAAAGATGCATGCCCAGGGGAGGCCTCAGAAGGAGAAATGTTTGGGCTGGGACTGAATGACAAGGACCTAGCCTAGCTGAGATCTGAGGGAAAAACCCACCACTTACAGAGCACAGCCTCGACAGGGGGCAGAGGCCAGGAAGCAGGCATGGGCTCAGAGCATGAGACTTGCTCAGGGAGGCCAGTGTGTCTTGCTCAGTGTGTGTGCAGTACGGAAAGACCAGCTCAGGATGTACTTTGTAAGGCAAAGTGAGGAATCTGGATTTTAGTCTAAGTGTCTTCCCTCTAATGGGAAGCCCTTAGAGGATGAAAAGCAGAAGAGCAATGTCTGATTCATATTTCAAAAAGATCATTCTGGCTGCTGGGGCAAGAAGAGGTAGAGTGCAAGGCTGAAAGCAGGAAGACAACATAACTACTCTGACTGCATAGGAAAGAGACTATGATGGCTTGAGCAGGGAGGCAGCATAAGGAAGAAGAGAAACTGAGGGACTGAGGCTCTGTTGTATATGCTGAATTTTATGGGGGCACAGCATTACTTTTACTTAAAACTAATAACATACAACCTGTTATCTGCAGGGAAGAAAGAAGAGTCTGGTCTTTACATGCAGTCCCTGGATAAACTAGCACCCTCAGACACCAGAAGGAAGAGCTAACAAGACTTACTCCACCTGGGAGTGTCAGGCAAGCAGGAAAGCATAGACAGGCTTATGAGAGCACCTGGGAAACAAAGTTCTCAACTGGGGTTCATGGTTGGGCTACAAAGCATCTGTTGAGCCCTAAAATAATTTGCAAATTATGCATGTGTGCATTTTTCTGTGGGAGGAAAGAACTTAAATAAGTTAATCAAAAGGGTGAATAACTTCATAAGCATCTAGAACAGCTTTTTGTCTTCCCATCTCCAAACCATCCTCTGGAAAGTCTACAGAGACATCAAATTAATGAATGTGATCTTAAGACATATCTTTCATCATGCCCAGGGTCTAGTAAAATGCTACCCAGGGATGGAAGAAGCAGGAGAAAAAATGGGTGAGGCTCTTGGCTCTCTTTGGGCATTTCAACTAGAACAAGAATTAATAAACTATGTCTGGCAGGCCAAACTGTTTTTGCAAATAAAGTTTTATTCAAACACGGCTCCCTCATTCGTTTTTCATATTGTCTATGGATATTTGTGCACTATTATAGCAAAACTGAGTAACTGCAATAGAGACCATATGGCCTGCAAAGCCAAAAGTATTTATTACTCGGCCATTTACAGAAAAAGTTTGCTACTCCTGAACTGGAGCAGCTCAACTTTCCTGTTACACACTGGGCCTCCACTAAAGATTTTATTGAAAGAAAAGGTTCCTCTGCTTAAGTAAAAGTTTATTACCTGGCCAAGCTAGAAGACCCATGGACCTTCACATTCTCTGGCTCTTGCGTCTTTACATAAACTATGTAAACCACTCAACAAAATCTATCTCCCAATTCCAACTGATAAAACCCTGTGTATCAGTCAAGGCTGATTTCAAATGCTGGACTCCTTCATGAAACCTCTCCAGCATCTCCCCAGGGCTTGTTCAGGCTACCCTGAGTGCCTCAACACTTTCCATTCCAAGGCCAGAACCCAGCACAGCTTCTTGCTCTAGATGTCCAATGCAGTTTTGGCTTTGTTTTTCTAAATTTAATCAATGTCATTCAGTCAAAACATGTCTAACTTATACCAGAGTTTCTCAGCCTCATCACTATTGACCCAATGCCCATCCTGTGCATGGTAGGATGTTTGGTAGCATTTCTGTCCTCTAACCACTAGATGCTAATAGCAACCCCTCCCCACCAAGCCGTGAAAATCAAAAAGATCTCCAGATACTGCCAATGCCCCTGAGGGGGCAGAATGGCCTCCAGTTGAGAACCCCTGACTTACACAGTAATTATATTGCATAATTTATCTCCAAAGCCATATTAGACAAAGATTCATCTCTAGCAAACCATAAAAATATAATCTGTTAATAATTATATCTGAAAGGATTACCATGGTTTTCTCTCTTCCCTCAGCTAGTTTCCTCTTTTTATGTATGTGCTTATTGCGATCAATTTCTACATCACCATACACATTGGATACATCTTCAAGAAGCACCAGTGGAACTTGGCTTGGGGCATTAGGACCTAGAAAGGGAGAGAAAACACTAACACTTAAAAATGCAGCAAGGAAAAGAATATTTAATATGAGGAGGAAGTTTATTCAACTGTCATGAGAAAATAAAGGTCATTAAAAATATGTTCAGTGTGATCCCAATTAGGTAAACAAGCATGTACATATAGAAAAAGACTGTATAGCTATACACCAAATTGTTAATAAAGATGCTCTCTCAGTAGCAGAATATGAATGACAGTTCCTTCTTTGTATTTATTCTTACGTACATACACATTTTTTTACAGTGACCATGAATCATAAAATTACCATAAAAAGACTACAAAATTACACACACATTACGGTTACAAATTCCACACAAACACTAAGTACATGTAAAACTATAAGGAAATACATAAAAATGATAGCTGTATTATACTGGAAGGACTATGGGTGATTTCACCTCTTATTTCTATTTTTCAAACTTTTTAGCCTATATATGCATATATTATATATAAAACATGTATTTTACTTAAGAATCTTTGCCTGTTGTGATATACTTCAATACATCTGCTGTTTTTACAAAATAAAGACATTCAATATCTATATTTAGTTTCACATTACCACCACATCTTTTGATAACAGAAATTTTTAATGAAAATATATAACACCTACGAACTAATAAGCCAAACTAAACCTAACTAAATCACCAACTACAAAAAGCACTGGTACCACCCCATAGCTATTTGGATCCAACCATAGCGGTTAAAGTAAACATTTTCCTCGTCTTTACCATCCCCACTGTACCAGTATTTTGGGACACTAAAATTTGTAAACCAACCTTGGAAAAGAGATGGCTGTATGCTGTTGACATACTGGAATGCATTCTTAAAGAAGACCAACATAGTGGAATAAACCACTTGGTTTTTATATTTTGCATGTGCTTCACTATCAAAGTTATTCATGTATCTGCAGAGATCCTTCATTCTATGCAAAATATCACCATAGCTTCTGAAAAATAAAAGATGATAGAACTTATTCAATTACTCTGGGCTTGTCAGCAAAAGGTCTAAGAAAATAGCTCTGGTAGAGCCATTACATTTACCAAATGTAGCTCTAGGCATGTAAAATTATTCTCTTCTGTCTGCATATGAATGGCAAATTTCCCTTTCTGAATTAGGGCAATAATCAGGCCAAAATGTCAGGACACAAACATGCCAAGCAGCTTCTCTTTTCTCTGAACTACCAAGGAAAGCTTGCTTCAAATTCAGCATCATCTTAAGAGTTCATACTTAGGTTAGGAATCTTCTATAAAGGGAAAAACCACCCTCTTTTGCATAAATATTGAATGTCACAAAATTTGCCCAAAGAGGAGTGTACTTATGCACTGTATGGTTTTTAAAAGTGTCTTATTATACTTTTATGTAATAATCAAAAATTGAATTGATTGAATTATGCAATCAAAAGATTTGCTAGGCAATTCTAGAAATAAACTATTTATTACCGTCTCCCTTTATCCATCTGCCATTCACATCTCATTCCAACAACATTCAAAATCTTGAACAACCTCTCCCAAGGGTCCACGATCTGGGACGATTTTTCAGTCAGCCCTTCTATTATGTACTTCTGAGAGCTACGTTTGCTAGGTGACATTAAATCAGATGTATCTTGGGCACCTGTGACATGAGAAAAAGTAGCCTACAATTAACATTACTACTTACTATTTATATGGTACTTGATAAAGAAAGAAAAAGTCTGATTCTCCATTCAAAAGAAAAGAGTAAGAATCTCAACACATTATATGTTTTGCTCAAGGACCCACAACTGGCCATTGGTATAAGCAGGAAGTGACTTTCCCTCCTTCACAAATGTGGTACATGTGTGAAGTTCTGTGCCCTGAAGCTACAGTGCAGCAAGAAGACTGTTTTGATCAAGGGGTGGCACTGGTTGCAGAAAAGTCTCATCTCTTAACTGTACTGTCATTTCCTAGATACTATCTTTTAGAAACACTGTCAAACTGGAATGCATCCCGAGGAGAATGATCAGAATGCTGAGGGACTTCTGAATTTGTAATTTTACTAAAGCCTGTCTAAATAAAAGTGCAGGGTGTTCCCACTTACCTTGGTGCTGATTTTCTATTTGAGTAGACCTAGTGACATAGTTGATATAAAATTCAGCTGCTTTGTTCAAATATTTATATAATAAATTGGCAGGCAATCGAACATCATGGTTGTTAATTATGAGAGGGAGGACATCACAAACTGTTAAAGGAGAAAAAGAAGAAAAAACTGATGAGGTTGTCTACCCTAGGGTTCTGGCAAAAACAAAACTTATTTTAGAGTCACTTAATATAGTATCTCAAATATACAGGAGGGGGGAATCCCTCATGGCACATTTATTTTAAAATTGCCACACAGAAAGGCACTGGTGGACAGAGTCCACAAGGAAACCCATGAGCAGACTGTACATTGTGGGTGGAAATCTAGTTCTTACCTTGGTGGGGGGCAGGGTTCAGATGTTTGTTTATTATTATGCTTCATATAATACATATATGGTTACATATATTCCCTCAGAGGTATCAAATACTACATAATAAAAGTTTAGAAGTTGTTTAAAATGCTTTCTAGGTCAAAAAAACCAGAATTTAAATTCCATAATATGAAGAGCTCCTCTGCTTTTCACAAATGAGCTTAACTCTAAAATATACTTACCCCAGCATATTCTAGTTACCATAAGGAAGTATGGTAGAATACATTTTTCTTACCAAATAATTTTCTAAAGCAGTTAACAGGAGACTCTTGTTCTTCAATGGTTTCAGCCTCTAATAATGCCTCCCCAAGGCCAACCTGTTTCAAAATGAAAGTAATCATTTAAATGTGTTACAGTTTAAAATGTCAGAATTGCATGAGGAATCAGGGTTTTTTTTGTTGTTTTTTACTTATTACACAGTTTGTATATTCAAACTTCCTTGAGAAAAAATGTTCACATTTTAAAGACTAGAAAACAAAAGAATACATCAGCAACACAGCTAAGAAGGCCAAATTCACTTTACCACTCTGTCTTGGTTATTCTCCTCAGAATTAGTAAAATTAAAATGCTAACAAAATGTCTATAGAAACTTAAAGGCAAAAAAAGAAAGAAAGAAAGAAACTTAAAGGCAGCACTAGAACTAGAGTTAGAACGGTAATAGAGATGCAGAGATTGTTTAAGAAATGGGGAAACTAACTTTATCATTCTCTACATGTAGATGTATTGTACAGATAAAACTTATCACTTTTAAGGTAAATTCTCAGGAATAGCCCGTCATGCAGTCTGAGCTGGACCAGACAGAAATGTCTGAGTTTTAAGGAAACCTTTCCACTTCTGATGTGTCCTAGCATATTACAAAGCCCCTTATCAAGATCTGCTGCAATGTTTGTATTGCCTTCTTTGCAGCCATGAAGGA